TTGAAGTGACACCTGATAAAAACGCGCAATCAACAGGATTATCCTCGTTATCGTCTAAAAAATGAAAAGGTGACAAAAGTCGACGATAGACACAAGGTGTCCCGTGAACGGCAAAATGTCTGACGTAATATAAATGAATATTTTTAAACATATTTTTTATTTTTATTTTACGCGCGCATCAGCTTCGCTGCTTAGAATTTTCAAGTTCAACAGACTTTAAAAATTGTTCAACGAATTAAGAGACTTTCTACTTTCCGAAGATCTCGAGGACGATATCTCGCGATTATTACTTACGCCAAAAAAAAAAGAAAAAAAATTAAATTTCACCGAGCGATGATCTGGAGGATGATAAAGCGCGAGTTCCAGATTAGAAGACTCTGCCCTGCTATCAATTTCTCTCGCGATCGGCGTACGTGACTATATGCAACTATGCAGCCTCGATACCTCGGGAATGCGACGTACGCGTGTGTGTACGTGTATGCACGCATATGCATACTTTATCAACTTCAGCGGCGTTCACACTCGTTCGCTCGCGTTATCGCGGCGCGGCCGCGGCGGCGTCTCTGTCAGTTGCTCCTTCGCCCTGCGGACTTGGTTGCGATGCAACATGGGCGAAAATCGTCGCGAAAAACGTTATTCGCTGAAAAGCATACCTATACTTATCTTCGCTGAGAGAAAAAAAAAATCCACCGAGTGAGAGCTCGCGGAAAGTACGCGAAAAGGCTCCGTTCACACGGAGCGACCGATTCTCGCGCGCGATTCACGAAGCACGCGAGCTATGCGCGCGGATACGTATACAGGATGTCTTGGAAGTCGCGCACTTTCTCTGCACGACAGGCGTCGGAGGCCGGAATTGCGATATGCTATATATTCACGTATATATCCGTACGTCAATCTTTTCTTTCGTAGACGAATCGCAAGTTAAGTTTCCGTGAATTGAACCTCCAGGGGAATTCCAGTGAAATAAACAATAATCCCGCCTCTCTCTCTCACGAGCGAATTTTGCATCTTTCTACGGTAAGACCGTGACTCGGATCGTTACATCGATCGACAAGATATACCAAATCAAATTTCGAAACCGAACACTGAATGTAATATCAAACGATAAACGACCCGTCGAAGCTCCGCCGAGGAGAAAAATCCAGTCCCGGGTCCGCCGTGGAATCCAGCGTGGAGAAAGCGCGCGCGACTCGCGCGATACACCCCGTATACGCGCATTCCCGCCGAATCGCGCGCTGAATCGCGTATCCTCGCGAGATCGCGGTCTCGTGAGCGGCGCGGCGCGGCGGAGGGGCAGAGAGGCATCGTCGTGACGCTCGAGCGCACGCACACTCGCGCCGATACGTGCACGCGATTCTTCTCTCTCTTTCTCTCTCTCTCTCGCGCGCGCAACTCCGAAGACGTCGCGAGAGGGAGAGAAGCGACGGGGGAAAGAGGGAGACATTTCAGATTCGCGTATCTACTTCGGGGACCTGTCCGACGACCGGGAATTGTCCCGTCTGTTTAGCGTTTTATTTCTCATTGATCGTCATGCAGTTTTCACGCGGGAAGAAGGAAAGCATGTTTTTCTCTTTAACGTACCTGTCGCGAGGATCGATCCACGTAGTCTTCCGCGTGTTGTGATCGATGAAGTACACCTTCCCGTCGAAGTCCTGGGCGACGTCCCACCCTTCCGGAAGCGGTATCTCCCCATTCCGTCTCCTTGGCATATTTCACTGCGCTCTAAATCCATCCAAAACCTCTCGCTCTATCGTCGTGCGGTCGACGGGCACATATCTGTGCGGCGCGCGGGCGCACGCCTCTCGGGCCGCATATACGGCACCACGTTCGCGCGCGACGGCCGGCGACGTGAGCGAACGGGAGAGAGCGAGACAGGTAGACGTCGGTGGAATGGAGTAAAGGGGGAAGGGGGACGAGAGAGGACGGGCGACCCGGCCGGAGAAGGGCAGGCAGGTGGACGGGGGAGGGGGAGCGAGCGAGACGGCGATAAAACGTATCGTACACACACCACGCGGCGCGCAGAAGGAACAGCGAGACCAGGAGCGTGCACTCGCATATGTGTGTGTGTGTGTGTGTGCGCTCCTTCTCTTTCTCTTTCTCCTCTTTTTCTTCTCTTTCTTTCCCTCTTTCTCTTTCTCTCTTTCTCTTTCTCTCTGGCTCGCGCGCGCTACTCCGCCATCATGAATACCTCATTATCATGAGCGGAGTGACGTCAGAGTCCCCGCCTTCAGATTCCTCTCTCGAGCGGACGTCCACCGTTAACACAGCCAGCCGTCGAGGAGCAGAGCCCGAGGCGGCGAGCGACGGCGATGATGTCGGGCGACGGCGACGGCGACGGTGTCGTGGGGTTGCGCTCGCACGAGCGCGGGTGCATCGATCAGGTGCACTTCGCGTATCATCACCACCACCCACCAATCTCACCACCACGCACCTTCTTCTTCAATTATTTATTATTTATTTATCTTCCTCGTTCTCTCTTCTTTCGGCACACTCGCGCACACGATTCTCTCACGCCGCGCGAATGAATCTGTCGCGCGACACGATCTTCTCTCCCCGCTCTCGTTTCCTCGAGAAACTCTCTTCCGAGCACAATTTAAAATAAATAAAAAACAAACAAACAACAAACAGATTAAGACGAGAATAAGCGAGACCGGAACACCTCCCGGGCACTCGTCGTATTATCCCCTTGCTCGTACGACGACACGAACGATACAACGACGACGACAACGACGATTCGTCGCGCGTTTCTCACCCCACCGAGTAGTCCCGGAGCATCCTTCCTCCCACCCTTCTTACCCTTCGCAGTGTCACCTTCAAGGTCCACCGTTCGGCAGCGCGCGCGCGCGTGCCACGCGCTCCTGTCACGAACTCGCGAATTGGCGGTATATATACGCGCACACCGCACCGACGGTACAATATCGTCCTGACACGCGGTTCCTCTCTCGGTCTCGGTCTCCGCGCGACAGACTCGTCCTCCTGCCTGGCGTGTACGTCGCGCTGTGGCTGTTGGTGCCCGTGCCCCGGCCCCGTGGCCCGTCGCGCGCGCGATCTCCCTCCGCCGAGCGCTACAGCGACGTCGTGTCTCCCGCGACTGCCCTGGCCCTGGCGGCGGCGGCGGCGGAGGCGGAACGGCCCGCGACCCGTTTCAAGCGACGCGCGCTATCGCCGGCTCCGCTCCGCGCGGCAGCGGAGCACGTTTCACCGTGTTCCCTTTTCCTCGTTGCATTAGCCGCGCGGCTGTAATGCTAATGCCGAGCAGCGGATCTTGGCGTTTTTCGCACGCAGGAATGTGGGAACTCGACTCCTCGATGCTGCCCTCGCTCTCGGCGCGCACGAGAGGATCTCTCCTTCGTTACCGTTTTCTCTCTCTCTTCTCTCTCGTTACGTCGTGCTCTCCCGCGTTCCCGTTTGACTTGTGACGATCCGCACTCGCGACTCGCGATCGACGACACCGCGAATTGTCCGCTGTCGCGCGATCTCTCCCGTCTGACCGGCGTAAGAGAGACGGAGGTGCGCGCTCACCTTCCGTACACCTTCGCGAGAAACACAGTCCGAGAATAAACTCCCTCGTCCACGGCGCACGGCGCGCTAACCAGGTTTTTCGCGTACGTACGACGCGACGGACGGATTTTCTCGTTTCCGACGATATACTACCAACTACCACCTCGCGTCACAGCTACGAGCATGCCGAGTGTTTGAGACATGCCACTGGACGTTCATGCCGTGCGCGCCGCCTGGCAATGCCTCTCTCTTTCTCTCTCTCTCTCTCTCCCTCTCTCTCACTCCTTCTCTCTCTCTCTTTCTCTTTCTCCCGCTCGCGTTCTATCTCTTCCCGCCCCCCTCCAGTACCATTTCATCCGTATTCACCGCAAAGAACATAGCTGTCTCCCACCACCTCGGCCACGACGCGTCGTCCTCGTCCAACCCGCGACTCCGTCCTCGTCGCTCCCGCTCGACCGTTCCTCCCCTCCACCCGCGCCGATCGCTCCGAGCTCCGACTATCCTCCGTCGGCCGTCCTCGTCGCGCCCGCCCCGGCGCCCATCCTCCCATCTCTCTCCCACCGTCGCCGGTAAGCCTTTCGCGTTTCGTGTGTCTCTGACCGCGCGCGCGAGAGGCAAGCGGGAAGCGGGAATAGAGCGTGTTTGCCCTTTCGGCCGCCTCGCATATTTGCCGCGCGTCGCGAGAACGGCGCCACCGGACGACACCAACTCGCCGCGCCGCGCCGTCGCCGACCGGCGCAGGTGCACCCTGGGATTCTTTCGAACAGGCATGCAGCTGATGCAGTACGCAGCACGAGATTAAAAATTATAGTCAAAGATCGATACGTTTGACGCGCGGAATGAAAAAAAATGGAGCTCCCGAAAAATGCCGGCTTCCCTGTCTGAATTTAATGAATTTATTCAGGTCATCCAGGATTTTATTTTCCAGACGTTTCCTTCATTTCTCGCATTTTCCGAGGAAACTCGGAGAAACTCGCGCTTCAAGTGCCTCAGACTTTGCCACTTGCGTCGAATAGAATTAGTCAATGTCGTTGCCGTTAAAGCGTTCGTTGAAATCATTAGATCGAATTTCGCTCTCCACCGAGCTTGAGCCTTGACGCGAATATATATAACGAGACATATTTAATCAAACAACACGGAGCTCCGAGAGTTCTGAGGAAGAGAAATAAAAACATCGTCTCGGTCGTCTGTGTTGACAGATCGTAACGGCCGCGGGTGGGCAACGTGGGCATCTGCTCCCTTCCCCTGCTATAAAAAAAGCGTGTCATATATTTTTGAACGACGTATGTGCGATCGTTGCACCTTCTACACCCCGGCCTCTCTCCTTTCTCTTTCCTTGAACGGTCGCGCGTATGCTGGCTTTCGTCTCCTCCAGGTGCAACGTGCAACGAGCGGCGCGAGAGAGGTGCAGAGAGCCGAGAAGAGAGCGCACTTACCCGGGTGTCCCGGACCGCGTCCCGGACCGAGCGCGAGGCCCGTGGCCCGGACACCCGTCTCGCATGCGCACGCGTCGCCGCGGACCGCCACGAAGGCATATCATTGCGAATTTAACGTGCCTGTCCGATGACTCCGTCGTCCACGTGACCGTTCGGCGTTTCGGCACGTATAAACACACGACACGCACACGCGCGTAACGTGCGTGCGCGTGTACGGGATTGGATGCGATGTGGAGCATATGTTGAGTTGACGCGAGCGTTGCGCGAGCTCGTCGCTGAAAAAGTCAGGCTCCGCGCGACGACGACGACGGTATAAGTACTTGGCCGCGTATCCCGACGTGCGTGCAGGAACTACGCTCGTCTTTTCCAGGGACAGGTCGGCCGTTGAACGAAGGGGATGGCGACGTCCGAGAGCGACGGCGACTTCGAGAGCGCCGACGAGGAGCTGGGCCGCGGTGCCCCCGTTAGGAGGAACCCCCGCGTGACGACGGTCTACCGAACGACGGTGGACTCCGATTCGGATGACGAGGTCGACGATACCGAGTATGTCCAGCGTGCGCCTCGCGGCGACACGGACTGGCAGAGGAGATCCGAGGCTTTCCGAATGCTGTCAGATGCGCCGACGGGTCGGGAGGAGACCCTGCTCGATGATAAGGGCGATAAGATAGACGATGTCAAAGGTGAAAGTGGTAAACGTAACGCCAAGTCGGTCGGTCGCGTAGGAAAGACCTCTGACGAAGGAGAGACTACGTCACCCGTCGATTCAGGAAGAGCGACGCAATCCTTATCAACCTCCGCGATATCCGCGAAGGACAGAGATGAAGCCACGCTAGAGAGTAGCGAGATCGTTGCGCCAGATGCCATGTCTAAATCAGAAGCTACGGAGACCGTGTTGGGAGACAAGGAGATCTCCCAAACAAAGCCAGGACAAGACACGTCCTGTCAATTAGGTGCGAAGAAGCTAGGAACTAGACTCGCGAAGGATAATGCCGATGAATGTTACGTCACTGGTGCAGCCGAACAGGAACGGGAAGATAAATGTTCAACCGAGTGTTCAAGTGAGAAATCCCTACCGTCTGCGAGCAAAGATACCGAAGAAAGATCGAAAACTCAAGTAGCAGGTAATCAATCTAGACCGTCGAGCGATTTGTCGGAGGAGGTGGACATGCCGGAAGAATTAAAGTCGAATAAAAAATTTAAAGAAGTTTTTCAGCCTGAAGGTTGGGAAGGACTTGGGGATGACGTCGAGTTGCCGGACGAATTGACGGAAGAGAAATTACAGCCTGTGTTACAGAGGCTCTCCTTGGCGAACAAAGACGAGATCCAGGATGACGGTTCTTTAGGAAGCTGGGGCACTTGGGGAAACTGGGGCGTATCTTCGTTAATCAATACAGCTACTGCGAGCGTGTCTACCCTGACTAGTCATGTATCTCAAGGTCTTACACTTTTGGAAGGTTCGATAGGAGCGCAAGACCCCAGTGACCCTACAGAGTTGGAAAAGATAAAGCAAGATGCGGTCGCCGCAACTGATGGTACAATGTTTAATATAAATTCTACGTAATTATTTTTGTACATATGTTTTAACTGTACATATCATTTTTGTTTATTTATGTGGCACTTGTAAGGTTTTGCATTGGATATATCAGCTGCGTGAAAATAAACATACATAATTGTAATTTAAATTTGTGTTTATAGATGCACAGCCGGAGATCCAAGAACGGGAAAGTCGATTATACGGTTCGTTCGGATTCGGGAATTTGATGTCGGGAGTGTCCTCGATCACAAAATTAGTCGAATCTACTGGTAGCAAAGTTATGACGGGCGGTTTAGATACATTGGAGGCTATCGGAAAGAAAACGATGGAGGTGCTGCAAGAAGGTGATCCCGGATTAAAGAAGAAAAGAGCCTTCTTCATGAACGAGCCCGAGAAACCAAACTTGTCGCAAATTCTCAGGGAAGCGAAGGAAAAGGCTGAAACCGAGGAGAAGACGATCGAGGAACGCGAATTGGCGAGGAAAGTGCATTTCGAGAGTCTGTTCGACGATTATCAGGGACTCGTCCACTTAGAAGCTCTGGAAATGTTATCGAAGCAGAGCAACATGAAAATTCAACAATACCTAATCGAGCTGGATACGAGCGACTTGACTTCCGTGCAAGAAACATTGGAAGAGATCAAAGAACTTTGCGATCTAGGCGATGAAGATGACGAAGATAAAGATAATAAAGATTTGAAAAGCAGATTAGGGAACGCTTGCCACGAGCTTGGTGTCGATATCACTTACGAGAAACTATATAGCGTAAGAGAATATCCGCGGTATCGAAAGAATTCTGTTTATTGAAAACATGATAAAATTAACTCTGTATTTTCAGGTTTGGACAGAAACGGAAAATTATCTTGCGTCACCCTCGACGCACACAGATCAGGAGATCTTTCAGAACGCTATATCGACACTGGCACAGTTTACAGCGTTCTCCGTAGAGAGATTTCATAAAACGGCAGAACTGCTGTTAATCAAGGAACGTCGTAGTACAGTGAACGAAGCAGACGCCTTGGTGCAACTTACCAATATTCTGTCCGATCAAATTAGCTTATTGGCCAATTCATTCTGCAATACGTTAAATCAGTTTGCCGAGACTGCGGAAAAGCCAAATAACGTCAATGCGAATATAACAATGATTTTCTTAGAAGTAAGTAAGAATCCGTTGAATAATTCAAGTAGCGTAATTATCGTAATGCTAAAATCTTCTTTTTCCACACAGGCTGCTAACGCAAATTCATATATTCAAGATGCCTTTAGGCTCCTCATTCCGATTCTGCAAGTTGGAGCGATCTAATGATAAAGATTAAAAGACAATTTTTTACACTTTATATTTAACGATATCTAGATTAAATACAATTTTCGATGTAGAGCATAATGTTATACCACTTCCCCGTTTCATAAATAATTTTCATATATTCTATCCTTCAAGAAAGTATCTATATTAAAAAAAAGGGACCAACTTAATTCTGCTAACTCAGTATATTTACATTACTTGATTTAAGGAATTTTTTGTCGTTATCGTTTTTTGTAGTATTTAGTGTCAATGCGAAATAACTACAGATATATGACAATATCTATATGTACATGCATGCATACACTGGGCATCCATTCAACAGGTTTTAGTAGAAAATTGTTTTAATTATCTGTGCACTAGAGTAATGCACATATTATTACAAAATAATTAAACTTGAGGTATTTAATAATATAAAAGTATGATTGATGTGTAAGATACGGAATATCTGTAACATAAGGTACAAATTCCAATAAAGATTACGCTATGTATATATCGACAACACATGTAGAAAAAGATAAGAATATCACAATGATTAATAATGATCATAAATGATGAATATAAAAATACTTTTTTATATAATATAGCGGTTGCTTTAACATTGTCATTAACGTTAACAATCTGGTAGAGGAGACTTTACAATGTGTGTTGAAGATAACAATTTGCTTGTGTTGCAAAAAATGATCCGAGATGAATGATCAATGTTTCCCTCGTTTGTTACCAACGGGAGGCTTTTGAAGTTGAAAGTTTGAGTTGGTTCCGTTTACTGGCAATGGTGCGGTCAAATTAATCGGCGCGTTAAAATTCAAACTTGCTGTCGGCGGTTTCGTGGATGAGCCTATACTGCCTATAGTAATGTTAGTAGCAGACGGTACTGGCGTCGAACTTTCCCAAACTGTAACAATACATTAACATTGTTACTTTTAATTCACTTTAAAATGATACAGAAGTGGAACATATGTAATAGCTGAAGCCACGGAGTAATATTTTATTATTAAAGATAACATAGCGTTTATATATTTTTGAGATGATAATTATATTTTGAAACATAAGCCAATTTTATCATGTTAATACCTCGTACTGTTAAATATATAATTGATGTTTTGATGTTAATTAACATTCTTGTTATATCTATCAGCATAAAAATCTTTTATAACTATATTTATGATTTTTTTTACACCTTAATATTCCATTCTGAAATCGGTTGAAAAAAGTTGCAGATGTGTATTTTAATATCTCTACATATACATCTTGCAAAATTTTTTGACTCCGTGATGAACTTAATAATATTTCTTGATTAGTATCATAGTATGTTTACAAGCAATACTGCGTAACGTTGGCAAAGCCGAAAGCACTCGAAGCACATTTACAGAAGGCACTATCATCTGTTAAGAAAGCATGATCTTGAAATTGAGTCTTTCGACAGCATCTCAATGCAAAGTATATAAAAGATTAATAATATCGATGTAATCATTTATACAAATTAATTAGTTACTTTCTAGGAGATTTGTATACAAGCAAAGAAGCGCGTTACCCTTTTCCCATGATCGCGACAATAACAAAGAGAAACTGAAATAAACAAAAAATTGAGTACCTCAATAATTAAATTACAGCCCCTATCTTTTTTCCTGAAAGGTAAAATCAAAGTCAAATCATACAGGTGAAAAACGAAACATCGACGACATTTGTTATCAAGTAATAACAAGGAAAAAAAAAGAAGAAAAAGATAGACAGGCTAATTGTGATCACACGTTAATTCTATTTAGTAATAAACGACGTTATATGTTAGTAAGTTCTACCTCATAACTAGATCCAGGCAAGACCTGAAGGTAGGAAATCTTTAGGGGGCGGTTAAAATCATCGTTTTTTAAAGGAGTCTTTTACTTAGCATAAGGATATGTAATTAAATTACAAAATAGTCAGAGCAGCAAGACCTATTTACCTAAAGGGTTTCGTGTTTCGTAACTCGCTGGCCGGTTCGAGTTTAATGTTGTCGATGACAAAAAGTTTTTATTTCCTGTAAGCATTAATCTTGTTTTTCAAAACCTACAATCGTTCGGTTTTTGAATGCTATTCTGAAATGTGTAAAATTACCTGGCCCAAAAGGAGTGGGACCACTCGTGATCCTGCTGATGCTGGTTCGATTAGATTTACTATTCACTTTGATACTGTCGAAAACATTAGTGTTATCCTTCAATACGTATTTCCTGAAATTGAGGTACTGTTCCTTCTGTTGCTGCACCTTAGCATGCACACTTTGCAGGCGGCCAGCAACTGCGACCAAAGACTCATGAAGCTTATTCATGGTCGCTGTCAATTCTAATGACAAAAAACAACATACCATTAACCAATATTCTTAATTAATTCGAATAAATTTATTTTAGCAGAATAATCGATTGTACCTTGCGGCGTTAATGTTCTTGGCGCCATCATGGTTTGTATGTGTTTCTCGGTCGTCTCAATTTGTGATCTGAACAACATCAAGTCTTGCTCGAAGCTTTCGGCTAATTCCATAAAGAATTGTAAGGGCGCATTATTTTCGTATTGCAAGCCCGGTGGGGTATCGTGTGTTCTTTGAGCTATTTCAGCGCTCTGCAACGCCTTTGCCGTGTCGTGCTTCAGCTTATCGGCCGAAGAACGATCTCGTTGCACTGAACCAGATAAGGTGGACAACATTTCCATTAGAGACGCCGTATCTTCCGCGCATCGATTCAACGGTCTCGCCGAGCCTCTCGCAATATCCGAAGATAGGCCTTTTTGCATTTTTACAAATTCCCTGCAAAGTACAAGCATCAGTGTAGCATCTTGTATGCGTCTGTCAAAATAACTTATCTATCTACATACAGTACATAAAAGTCAATTATTTCAAGCCAACTATGAGTCATTTTATTCATAATTACTTGAATTTATCTATAGTTTGCATAAGCTCATTTGGCAATAGATTCTCCTTGGCTGCTGTCGAACTACTATTTCCTTGAGAAAGACCCTTATTATTGACGGAAACATCTAAGCCGCCGAGTCCTTTATTAGTAACTGTTGCACCAGTTACGGTACTAAGAACAGTCGTTGGCTTAGCACCCAATAAAGTGCTTCCAGTTCCGGATCCAAATAAGGAAGCTGCACATAAATCAATTGCGACGGTCAACCACTATAATGATAAAACTTCTGTTAGAATAGTGGATCACAAAATATACATACTGTTAGTGGTAGCTGTACCGAAAGTTAAACTTCCTGTTGCCGTTGGATTAGACGTGGCACCAAACGTTAGAGCGTTCGTCGTGGCTGGCGTGCCAAAGTTGAGATTCGTGAATAAGGGCGCGGACGTGGTAGGGGCGGGAAATAAACTGGGAGCAGTGCAACTGGGAGTGGTCATTGTAGTAGCTGTGTTGGTTCCCAGAAGCAGACCGCTGCATTGCGCCGGCGTTGAGGTTGCTGGAGTACCAAATCCGAAATTCAGACCTATGGACGTCGTCGGCGGAGCCAAGGTGCCGAACGTTAACGTGCTAGTCGACGTGGTCGGGGTGCCGAAGGACGTGTTGCCCAAACCGAAGCCTGTCGTTGGTCTTAAACGAGAACGGTTTGCAATTAAACATCAAGTCTTCTCCCTTGTGGGAAATAATTTTATAATTTCAATCTAATAAATGTGTATTAAACAGAAAAAAAGATATGTACGCGAACGTTATTTTCTTCTTCATATTGAAGCTATAATTTTGATTGTTTGAAGGTTAGTGTTAACGCGCCGAAGCTATATTTACTTTTGCGTCCCAAATCCGAAACCTGTGCTAGCAGAGGTGACCGCTGGAGTTCCAAAGGTAAACGCCATTTCACGCTACGTCGAGTAAATGTGTCACACACGATAAAAAAAACAATCTATTTACAATATCACATAACCACACCGCGTTGTACGTCCCAAACTCCTTTTCTCATGTTCACTGGTTACTGGTTCATTCGGGACATGCGCAGAAACGACAAGACCTTAGGGAGCATTCGCAATTCGCTCTGCAAAATAGGGAAAATGCGCCTTCCACGATCTCTAGCTAGAGTAGTAATATATTTGACGAGAGAAATTTTGAATGGATTTTTTAAATTGTTTAAAATATTATATTTTTAATGCTTATACATATGTTTTTAAATAATATTTAAAAATATCCTTAAAAAATTAATCTACACATTTAAACATGTTTTAAATATTAAATACATTATTTATTGTGTATTTAATTTACAATATGATATACATTTATATAAATAAAAATTTCTAAATTCTACACGTTTTATTCTATACAACACATATATATTATGCATGGCATTGTATTCCACACGTGCTAATATATTTTCAAAATTTAATTTTATCAATAAAAAATAGATGTAATAATATAAATATTAAAATTTATGATGTAAAAGTAAAATACAGGGTGTATCATTTTAAGTGATTCAGCTGCATATCTCTTAAAGTAAAAGAGATTGGAAAAATTGTTTCAGACAAAAGTTGTTTGGTTCGAAGAGGGACATAAGATGGTGTCATTGATTTGACCTTGGGTGGCATCGTTAAGGACAGGTCAAGGACACCTTCAGTTTCTTAAATAGAACCCCTTATTTTTTATTGCATATTCTTATAGCTTATATCGAGAGCTTTCCAAAACACTATAATTAAATATTTTATTATTAAGTACTTTTTGAGTTATAAGGCTTAAAAGTTACAGTATTGTGACATAATATTTTGTTAAGTATTTATAATTCAAATTCCTTACTTTTTATTTTTACAAACAATACGAATCATATAATGTAAAGAAAACACAATTTTCTTAAAGAAAAACTTGTTGTGTAACTGTTTATTGCATATTCATTATTTTCTTAGCTTCTCACGATTCGGGGTGCTTGATTTGCGTGAATCCCCTTGCCTCTCACGATTTGGGGTGACATTTTTATATTGTATTTTCACGGTAGAGACCTTGATAATCCAGATAATTTATTAATCTAAGAATCTCTTCGATAGTTTTGCTATTTAAGGATTATTTGTATATTGTCACAGATAGAGTTTGATCAAAGTCGCCCGTATGAACGGGTTCCCATGCGAGCGCGCCCGATTGGCCGCCAGCGCGCACGCGCTAACGAGCGGTTCAGCTGTTGCGGACAATGGCGACGTCTCGACGGACGGTGTGACATCCCGACGGGCTAGATGTTCCCGCTACCCTGCCCGGACGCGGGACGCGGCTGCACGTAAACGCGCATCGGTTCGCGGACGCTGAGGACGGATCCACGGCACGCGGCCCCGGGTGTCCCGCTCTCCTACTCCCTTCCTCTCTCTTCTTTCGTTACGTTCGTCTCCTAGCCGCTCGCGATGGCTGCGGTGAACGCGAACGCGCTCTCCAGTGACATAAGCCGTAGGAATCCCCAGGACGAGTACGAACTCATCCAGAGGATAGGCAGCGGGACCTACGGCGACGTCTATAAGGTCGGTATCCCCCTACGACTTGGCCCTCCCGTCAACGACCATGGCGAGATGTCAATTTACCGTGTTTCCCCTCTCCGCAGGCTAAACGGCTGTCCATGAACGACCTCGCGGCGATTAAGGTTATCAAGCTGGAACCTGGTGAGTGTGATCTCCACGAAGTGTCCGGTATCATATGGTCATCGCAAATCGGCTTCTCTATCTGATCGCTCGTTGATTTTTCGTAAAGTGTCATTGCAGTTTTTTTTGTTTCTACGAATTCACGTGCAGCGACATGGGAATTGGGAATGTAAAAGATATCAAACGCTTGTGTGTGCTCTTCAGATTATCTGTTTGCGTGTACTTTGTCCTCGTAATGAAAGTGCTGAGCTGTTACAAATCTTGTTTCAATGTGACAAAGTAGGATAGTTTGCAATATCTGTGTGTCTTTTAGGTGATGACTTTGCAATCATTCAACAGGAGATCCTAATGATGAAGGACTGCAGGCATCCAAATATTATTGCATATTACGGCAGTTATTTAAGGAGAGACAAGTTGTGGATATGCATGGAGTATTGCGGAGGTGGATCGTTGCAGGATATATATCATAGTATGTGAAATATTTATTACCCAATGTTTGCATAATGTCAGAAAAACAACATAAGGCCTCGATTTTGATGGTTGAAATATTTGAGTAATATTTGAGAAGAGGAATGCAGATTTATGATAATTTATAAATGTTAAAATTAATATTTATATACATATAAAAAATATATAATGTATATAATGTAATTGTATATAATATATATACAATTACAAAATATATAACATGTAGTCTTTAAATTATTTAAATTTAACTTTAAAGTTGTAATATTGAGTTTTAATGTGTTTCTAGTTACTGGACCATTAACAGAAATACAAATAGCATATATGTGCCGGGAGACCCTCACTGGTTTAGCTTACTTACATAGCATGGGCAAGATGCATCGTGATATTAAGGGTGCCAATATACTGTTGACTGAAGCGGGTGATGTAAAATTGGCAGACTTTGGCGTGTCGGCGCAGATTACCGCGACGATTAACAAGAGAAAGAGTTTTATCGGTACACCTTACTGGATGGCTCCTGAGGTATATATTCATGCTTATCAATAATACTTGAGGATCACGCTTTACAATTACATTGAGGACCAGCATAGCTGATATTTTTACAATCTACAGGTAGCAGCCGTGGAAAGGAAAGGAGGTTACAATCAATTGTGTGATATTTGGGCGTGTGGGATAACCGCGATTGAATTAGCGGAGTTACAGCCGCCGATGTTCGATCTGCATCCGATGCGCGCTCTGTTTCTCATGTCCAAGTCTGGCTTCAAGCCACCGACATTGAAGGATCGTGACAAATGGAGTCCAACGTTCCATAACTTCGTCAAAATTGCCCTTACGAAAAATCCGAAAAAAAGGCCGACAGCAGAGAAATTGCTTCAGGTTATTTCATTATTTTATTCTTATTTTATTAGTGATAGGTACGATTTATACAAAAAAGGTGTAATATTTTCATAAAATTGCATCAATGTGGTAATCTATAAGAGGTATCTATTTCGAATTATAGCATGCGTTTTTCCAAGGGGAGATGAGCAAGAGACTGGCTTTAGAATTATTGCAAAAAGTGTCGAATCCCAGCCATATGTTTACGGATTTGGAGGCCGACGAAGACGGAGCAGTGCCCAATGTTCCGCAAAGAATAGCTTCACGTCACACCGCAAGGCCTAGGCCGAAAAGTCCTATATCGCAACTGGATAGTGACGGTAAGATTAATAATAATTAAATAATTAATGATAGATAATCTCAAAGTATGATATAATCGTGATTATGATTTACCTGCAGATCAAATCAACATCGATGGAGGGACATTACATAGAGACTCCATATCACCATCTGTGGACGCTAATCCAGCGTGGGACATTATGGATATCATGAATAACGTCAAGGTAAATCTATTGCAGACGCTTATCCTGTTTATGTGTTATTCACTGAGTATATTTTTCATAAAAAAAAGTAATTGCAATATTGTATAAGTATTTTTCCAATATTATAATAATTATAGTAATTAATGAAAAGGCGATTTATATCAGTGAAGTTGAATGTCTAATTTACGTACGTACATATAGGCCGTGCACAATTGTGATGTGCATCCAGACTGTGGGATTGGATCTGCGTTTGAAGACGGCCAGGAAAAGTAAGTTGTTTTGTATTTCATTCCATCAATTTTTTTTATCGCACATATATGCGGAAAACATCGAAAAATATCGAAGCTTTTCTATTACTTTCACTAATATGGTAGTTGCTGTTTTGTTCGAAATTGTAAATATATCCCTTATATATACATATTCAGAGCGAGATCCCAGAAATCGTTATATAGAAAGGTTTTACGTGACGTAGACTTATATAACATTACGTATCTATACATATCTTACAATATATGTATATTGTAAGATGTTATCTTCCAAATGTACATATTGATTAAAGAGATATAGAGTAAGTTATAAGTTCAACGTAATCATTATACACACTACTAAACAAGACAGCAATATAATATATACATCGTATTATAAAAGTCACAAACATCTTACTCGTGGCTGATAGTAACTAATAAGTTACATTGCATATGGCATGTGCGCTTATGCTTGTATCATGTCATACTAGTTGTCAAAGTGAAAGAAATATGTACATTCATAACTTATACACTTGAAACAGCAGCACATCATATTCTAAAGTATATACCTTAATAAGTATGGACATTTTTTTTTATAAAGCAAAGGGGAATCGATCGGAAAGATATTATTAAATCTTTGAATACGAATATAGATTTTTTTTGCAATCTTTGCCTCCAATATTATAATTATTAAGTTATTATTTTTCTCTGCTTTTATTGCGAATTCGAAACTATTTATTTTACTAGAAAAATTGTGATAGTATATTTTTCAAAGATATACTCATTTTTGTATTAGTACACTTGGCGCAAACCTTAAGACTAGTAAAATATCGAAACGTCGTAGCAAAACTGGCACAGAGATATTTCGTATGTCTTTAAGGTAAATTGGTTTGATTGAAGTGAAAAGTTTCTTTTTATTTTCAACATAACAAAAATATGTTTTTGTATACCAAAACAAATTATGCTATTTACACTTACTCACTTTTATAAAATGCTTGGAGAGCTTTGACTGGTTTGTCCCTGAATGATAGAAAAGTCTTGTAATATTAAAACGGATCAAATTATAATTCTCTCTGTACTTTATAACACAAAAATGTTATATTAAAGTGATTTTAAAAAGTATAAAAATTAAACATATATATTATTTGTGGATAGAGTTAACAATATCAGATATTTAATCAGACTTTTAACCGATATATAATTAAACTTTTCTATATAACAAAAGGACAATTATATATGTATTGTACAGACAACTTTCAACAGATTTAACAATATATTGTACATATACAAAATTACACTACTTTTTGCATGTTAGGCAATAAATGTAATTGCTTGTATGATATTGCATGATAGCAAAGTTGTTATGCATTTTATTAAAGTAAGAACGATCACTTTGAACTATACCATATATACATCAACATAATCCATTTACTGGAATGATTTAATTTGACATAAAATTGAACGGAAAGAATGAATTCTATGTATTTGTAATTACATTCTTTTTTTTTTAAGTATTCAAGAAAGATTTTCAACAAGACTTCCTTAGACCGTCGTTTAGTTTGTACAGAAATTGAGATTATGCCCATATCCTCGATATATTTTAATAACGTAGTATTCGGCTATATATATAAAAAATAATATTTATATCCTGTCTTTGTTAGTCCTTGCTCCCGTAGCATACCTGCTCTATGCCCTAAGTTTAGTAATCCATTCCCATTATTCTTTGTATTTTAATTTTTCTGATCAGTTTGTAATTCTAATAATTTCTCCCAACAGGAGTCTATTGCAGTACATTGATGAGGAGTTGTTGCTAAGGTATTGGCAGGTAACCCTTTTCCCTTGCACCTTGCACCTTGCACTTATATCTCCTAATTCTGTGCATAATTCTTATAAATTGCATTACTCAGAAGATTAATTCGTCGCGTTTATTCGCTTACATTTGTTTGATATTTTTTCTTTTTTATTGCAAATATTAACATAATTTGAATTAACATGCATTTTTTTCAATTTTGTTAGTTTTTATTTGACTCCTTTGAAATTAAATGTATAATTTCTAAATTATCCCTTACGTCGCATTCAAGTTAAATAGGGAACTGTATAATTTCTAAATGTACACATGTGAGAGAACCAATTCAATTAATTGCGTTTAAAAAGAGGATTGATATTGATACATAATATTTTAACATAACTAAACGACACTGAAGTTATATATAATGAAACTGATTAAATATTAAATAATACAAATAATATTATTATATGTTAATAAAACTATAAAATTGTATAACAAGAAGGAAGCACAACTGAATATCACAAATTTAATCGACATTCACACAGTGTAATTTATAGAAAAACATTAATGTGCACAATTTTTAGATAGATATACATAGAATGAAGTATGTTTCCTGTTACGCGTTTGATGTTATTTGTTGCATGTTAGTTTTTCCAACATTCTAAACACACTGCAACTATTTCTATATAGTGTATCGGCCATACTGGTGAAGGAAATTTATATACATATATGTATGTATATACAACCTTATATCACAAAATCACAAAACACAACAAAACAAAATGACGTAACACAAAATGTTTATTAATTAAATTTTCTATCATATAGGATTGCCTCTCTCGATTTATATATATTCTTGTTAATATATTTATAACTACTTGTCATACTGGAAACTTAAAACGCCATTTGGGAAAATCGATTGCAATTACGATTGCTATAGACTTTCTTGATATATTATGGATAAAACATTAAGACTATATTTTATATAGGAAAATTCGACGACGTGTCCATTTAATCATCTCATAATCATTTGTTATGTAAAAATGTGACGTATTTATTGAAGAGCAGAAACAGTATTAATCGTTTTATCAAATATTTTATTTTTTTATGTATGTTATTCATATATAACATATTAAATACATTGTTTGTAAAATTTCGAGACATATTGTAGTCATACATCCAGTAGCACCACAAAACTAGTTTATAATTTTATAGTATATGACCACAGTTTCACATGTGTGCAGGGGGAATGCAATGTCGATGGTTGGTGGGCATTGCGACCAGCTATATTCCCTGCAGTAAGTAAATAATAAGTTACAGTAAACACAATTTTATTTCTGATTCTTTTGATAATATATCATCGTGAAAACATGATTTATTTTATTGTGGGTGACTAATTGAAACATTGAAATTATAAACATATAGGATCACACCGCATTATACAAGTAATTATTACTTCATTAATATGTTTGTATCTAAAATATTTAATTATCTTTTACTAAACGATATAGGTACATAAAAAAAAGTTTGATTCTATTATGCGGGGAATATTAATGGCTAACGTATCTGTTTCTGCGTATCATTTATTTCACTAGCAATATATGTTAAATTCATTCATGTATTTCATAACACCAGAATAGGCATTATATGTACGTTCGATCTCATTAACATCCTAATAACGCGATTGCCTTGTGTACTAAAATTTGCTAGAAATATGCAGCTTTACTTCTTTAACTTATTTTTTCATTATGTCTTATTCGATTTTTTTTTTGTTCAAAAAGCTACCATATATTCCCAAAAGAATACACAGTCCGAACGTTTATTTTATTATTTATGATATGTACATCATATTAACATATTCACTTTCTATGTATCGCTCATTCTTTATTAACAACATTTATGTTTCTTCTTTCGTGATGATTTAAAGAAAACGATTTTACGTTAACATTTGCTTAAACGTTTTCTTTTTTAGAGCTACTCTTCCATTGGGGGAATCTTCGAACGATTGCGAAGTTCATTGTCCATATTACAATGTGTCCGGTATGTAAATTATATTGTAAATTGATGAAAAGGGTCTCATTATATTCATACAACCTATCAGATTGTCCCCTTCTTCAATCTATGTGTATGAGAATGAAGAATAGATTCATGTACAGGGTCACAAGCGAGCCCCAGACGTCACAGCTCTGTGGACGAGTTGTACGGTCTCGTCAATAGTTCTCAGTCTTTAACAGCTGTGAATGGGCAACGGCAACGATCATTATCGGACAGCGGCCCTAGGGACGAGCCCGCGCAGTCAAACGGTATATATCATGAGCTCAGCACTTGAATAATGTAGATATTCACACGATTATATCGTTCCATCGTAGCCTCCTGTGAAAATATTATTTTATCAGAGATCACTAATGTTTTCGCTACATTCAATCGTTATTTAATATCTCTGCATAATCATTTTCAGGTGACAATGAGATATCGGCCGATCGAGATAGGGAAGGTATGAGTCCTGACTTACTGTCAGACACACCACCCGTCCCTCCAAGGAGAAGGGATCGAAAGAGACATACGCCACCGAGACCCATAAGCAATGGATTGCCTCCCACACCGAAAGTGCACATGGGAGCGTGTTTCTCGAAGGTCAGTTTACAAAAAGCGAAGATTTTATATCATCTTTTCGTTAAAAAATGTTTTTTATTGCTGCAAATCAGTCTGTCATAAATAAATAATCTTTTTGTATTGTTATATCACAGATTATTTTTTGATAATATTATTTGTTACATAGTTATTTTAATTTTAAAAAATATACATTGCGAAAATATTTTTATTTTATGTTCTTCGATAGCTATCAGTAAGATATTTATTATTTTTGTTGCAAATGTTAACAGGTATTCAACGGCTGTCCACTGAGAATACACTGTACCGCAAGTTGGATTCATCCAGATACAAGGGATCAGCATCTGCTGATTGCAGCGGAGGAAGGAATTTATAATTTGAACTTGAACGAGCTCCATGAGACTGCGATAGATCAGCTATATCCCAGACGTACTATCTGGATGTACGTTATCAAGGATGTTCTTATGTCTCTTTCCGGTAAGCAAATCTTGATCTATATTGATGCTGCTGCACGAAAGATTGATTTGTATCCTTTAAATATTATGAGCAATGTGCAATATTGCAGGAAAAACGCCTCAATTGTATAGACACGACTTATTAGCGATACTAAGTAAACAAACTCATAGATTTTCATTGCACATGAATAAAATACCAGAGAGATTAGTCCCTAGGAAGTTTGCTCTTACGACGAAAGTACCGGACACAAAGGGATGCACTACATGTTGCGTTGGCAGAAACCCATATAATGGGTGAGTGAAAACAATATTTGTACATTTTTTCCCGAAAAAATATGTATATTACTCTTCAATGAAAGGAATTTGTAAAGAAACTTAAGTATATTAGTGATTTTTGCGTAAAAAATTGATATTCGATATAGAATAATTAATCATTTTCAAACTTATCTTGGTAAATAAAATTTGACAAACAATGGCAAATATTTTCTAATAGGTACAAATATCTGTGCGGTGCGATGGCGGCAGGTATATTTCTAATGCAGTGGTACGATCCATTGAACAAATTTATGCTTTTAAAACATTTCGATTGCGTTCTGCCGTCGCCTCTAAATGTCTTTAAAATGGTTATCACACCTGAGATGGAATACCCGATGGTATGTGTCTCAGTTAAACAACCGTATCAGCAGAACAAACTAAAGCTGGACTTAATTAATATGAATTCGGGAGCGAGTTGGTTTCACAGCGATGAATTGGAAGATATGGATGGCTCAGGTATTCTTATATGTCATACACGTCTGACAATAATCGTTTATTTGTCTACAATCTTTATCTTTGTCTTTAAAAACCTTTGAAAATTTAATATTTATTATCAAGGAAATGCGTCATCTTTGTTCTGTAATAAAAATATTGTTTCAGCAACTGTGATACCAAGACGAGAGAATTTGAACGTTATTAACGTTACGCAATTTGAAAAGGATGCAATTCTCGTTTGTTATGATAGTGAGTATTATTAATAGATATTATCTTATCGCATGTCTTATCGGTGGTATGTTATTAAATTGAACATTTTTGAATTTATAGATGTGGTGAAGATGGTAACTTTACAGGGGAAACCCCGTATTAGTAAGAAGCAACTGTCAGAGCTGCAATTTAATTTTCAAATCGAATCTATCAGTAAGCATAACATATTTCCTCTATTTGTAATCCATACTGTAATCTTCATAAATAAAATATCGTATTATATATTTTCAGTTTGTCTACCTGATAGTGTATTGGCATTCCACAAACACGGTATGCAAGGTAGAAGTTTCAAGAATGGCGAAGTTACACAAGAGATTAGCGATCCGAGTAGGACTTACAGGCTACTTGGCTCAGATAAGTACGTATTTAATGATATAAAGAAGCCGATCACACATATTAATCCAAGTTTTGAAGAACATTTGAGAAAACAATTAATCATTACGTCTTAAACAGGGTTGTGATGTTGGAAAGTCACCTGGTTCACAGTGGCACATTGACTGAATCGGAAGGAGCGGATTTGTACATTCTCGCTGGACACGAGGCCAGCTATTAAGCATTGATCTTAAATAGCGAGCACACGCTGCATGGTCTCGCATGATATGTGATTGAACTGCATGTAACGTGAAACGACTACGAGAACGATGAGAGATTAAAGTATGCGGAGGTGAAAATTTTACAATTAATTATTCTACCGCGAATGCACGTGCGATCGGCACAACTAGCGTGCGATTCAAACGATAGTCGTTATCTCTCCGTGTAGTCGATATCGCATAGACTGGTTATCTCCGCGATAATTTCTTTTTTTTAACGAGAGTCGTAGGGCTAGACAGTACTTTTAATAGCAAAGCTATAATGGGGAGAAATAACTAGTTTAACAAGAGGACAGAGTAAAGAGAGCGTATGTACGCAAAACTATCTTTATGCCTAATCAAATGAAGCTAATAATAGCCGTACAAGGCAATCCCTAATTTTTTACGACGTTCTCATTGTCTAGCAGCAGGAGAAAGATTGTGATATATGTCGGGAAAGAAAGAGACAAGAGCTATCTTTATTTCACGCGAGATATAATTCAACCGAGAATATATTCTGAAAGCAGTTTCAATGCTATTAGAAAGTTCAGTCAAATGGGAGGATAGAATTATTTCGTTCCCGTACGGATGATTATTTGCGCAAGAGTTCTACTTCTTTCTAAAGACATGTATATTCGCGAGATATTTTGATAACGATGGTAAATAGTAACTGCAATGTTACCTGACGTGACTTTTTGTATTATTGTAAAGACAATAATTTTATTCGGAACGTCGTACACAAGTCACGGGAGACAAAAAAAAAGGATAGACACATCGGCATAAAGGTATATAGTATTAAATCTTTGAATCTATATAGAACGGATAAATTAGCGAAAAGTGAAGAGAGAAAGGTAAAAGTAATTAGAAAGTTTTAATCCCGTGTCGCAGACCAAGTATTAGAACCGTGAGAATTAGAGAGACAGACATACACACGTACCGTACACACAGTTTGTGTAGATTTCACATATCTGAGTTTTGCTCGCGACCATACACACAAATGAGAGTTTTATTTTCACAAAAGAATAGAAAAATTATAGAAGATACGGGTGTAAGACACTTCAATATTATATATAATCAAGTCAATTTTTATCATTTCTTAAACTTAAATTGATTGTTTTGAACTTATACGTGCAATACATTAAAATTTATTTATTATCTGAACGGAATATGACTTCAAAAATATTATTAAAAAAAAAAATGCTTAAAAAACAAAATACGAGTATGTGATTAATATTCTGCTGGCTGTTGCATCTTATCCGCAGTGTCATATACCCGTACTCTTTCTAGCGATCTTCGAAAAATCTCTTCTATGCAGACATGTACACGTATAAGTGCTAGGACAATTAATACAGCGATAAAATGTACCTGTACACCGACCATATGGATGGTTTGCCTCTACATACGGATGTTTAAGTTTCGAATTCTCAATTCTTGCGTGTCTGAAACTTCGAAATTAAGATAGCGAATGTGTAGCGAGACAGTAACGACTGTTTATTCCTTCAGCTGTCCCTCGGATCTATTCAGACTGAATTAATTGCTCTTTAAAAGAGGGCATCACTCCAATATTATCTTTGACGTTTTCCAGTTGTGGATTACAAAGACAATTTAAAAAATTAGAAACATTCGTTACGTCAAATTGGAACATCTATTCGATAAAATTTATAAAATTCCACTATTTTTTCAGGATTCCCTGAAATATGCGAAAATTTCTAAGTTATGAATATCCTACACTCTATGATTAATATATATGCGCGTTTTATTCAATTATGTTCAAAAGTTATCGAAAAAACTTTTGTTTATGAAGCCAATATCTATTTTAGGATACGAGAATCTCAATCGCGAATTGAAGATCCATATTTCTTATATTTCCCAATCCTACGTTGGTTTAAAGAGAAAAACGCCGCTCATAATTCAATAAGGATAAGAATCCAAGGGATAGAAGATCGAGCATATGCACATACGGCTTATCATTATTTCCAATCAAGAAGACGACGATTAATGACACACATGCGTTACGTTTCGCATGCAAAGAGATACAAAATATTTTGAGAGGCAAATTCGTGAATTATCGTAAGATGGATAAAAAGAGAAATACATATATACATATATACATAAACAAATATATTTAATAAAATTCCTTGACATATATATTGTAAATTCGAAGAGATATTCATTAATCTATAATAGGATGGATTCCGATAATTTTGTTAATTAGCCGGTGGCGTTGAAGATACGAATTGCCGATATATCAGTAGTTAGTAACCAAAGCCGTAGCGACCAATAGATAACGCAATGAATGAATAAAATTATTCTTACAACTGGAAGTTAGGAGAGCGATCGAAAAAGAGATATACCGTGTTACAACGTACAGAGATTTTTAGGAATAAGGAGCTTCTGCTACATAAAATTCTCTTAAGTATCCGTTACGATATTTAATGCTCACGTAATTATTTATTTAAAGAGTACTGCGTATAATGCTTTCCCTCAAATTTTTCCACGGCACAGACAGCGAAAGTTGAACGATGAAAGATGATTCTTGTTACATTGTCGGAGACTCGTGAAAGAGGTGGACGTTAATTTATTCTTTACGGTCGAAAGTTACGTATTAGCGAGAAGTATTAGCGGGAGAAGAGTTAAGTATAGGGCGTTTCTTATAAATATTATAATTGGAACTGTACTAGCAACTAAGTCTTGTAATTACGAAAGCTTGTATATAATGTGTATAACGTATTATATATGTTACTCTTGCGTTCGCCGAACCTTCATTTTAGTCATTTTTTATATGAATGCAGTATTGTGAGAATAATTTATAATTATAAACATATTTAATTTACCTGTATCTATAAAAGCAACTAGCCAAACTTCTGTAAATAGACCGTCTCGTAATAAAATCTAAGGAAAAAATATATAGATATACTTACCTGAAAATTATATCCCGAGCACTGACTTTGCTCAAAACACATGAAAGATTTTTACATGTGTATGAAACCTTGCATTAATATATACATAAACCAATAACATTTTACAAAGATTCTCTTGTTGCCAATGTTTTAATTATTGATCATGGTAACACGAAAATGTAAGAAGTCACAATTACATGTGGAAACGATAGTAGAAAATGATAGAAAATAAAATTTATTTCGACGATGCGAAAACTTGCATTTTCAAATTCTTTCTTAGATTACAGTTTAACTGATGATTTTTTCAATCAAACACAAAGTTAAATGGCTTTATAAATGCTTCGTTTAATTAAAAACTGCTCCTTTTGCTCTATATAACATAAGTAATATCAAACAATACTTAACATACAACAATCTATAGGTGAACATTAATTTTTTTACGTTCCTATGATAACACGAACGTGAACGTATGGATGCGTCTTTCTTATATTTACGCGCTCATCAATCACACATTAAAATATGAATTTATTACACAATAATAGTATCACGTTATGTCAATGTTATTCTTCAGGCACATGTGAAAAATATTAAAATAGGACTCTAATTAGCTCTGCAACATCACGGCACCATGTTTATATGAACAAAGCGAAGCAAATGTTTTTACTTTCATTTAGCAATGCAAAAAAATTTCAGAATACCAAAATAGAGATATTAAAGAATTATTTTTATTTATATTTTATCCAAAAATAATTACGCAATAATTTAAATACATATATTTCAAATAAATTATTCTTGTTTAACTTGTTTTAGCCAAAATAACAATATTTTTTCTTTAACTGCATTCATATAAGTTTTTTATCAAATTATTTCTATTTTTTTTCCAATTATTACAAATTTCTTTGCATATATACAAAAATAGAAACCAGTTTCTTAACTAGTATTCTTATATTATTACGTGATGACTCAAGCAAGCTAGAGTCATCATTCGCGTGACTTATGTTAGTATAAAATCGATAATCAAAAAATTGATTTAAAGCACATTGTGCTTTTCTATTTTTGACAAGAATATTTGCTTCACTTTTATCCACACGACTTACGCCGATTATGACTCGAGATTTCTATTGACTTTTCGACATGTAATCCTCATCTTGTAGGCCATCTACAGATCACGTCTCGACGTGACCTTGCAATTGACCTACTATTTTCCGTACCCAACCAGCCTGGCTCTGCCCCGCGGAAACGTCGTCTCTATCCATCTCGACGTTCCGATTATAACCATTCGCTGAACCATTCAGTGGTTGATGAGTCACATTCGCCAGTCTCGCGGTAACTCTGGACTCCGAATCACCAGCGGCATGTCCCCTCGCCAACAGCGACTTTATCTTCAAGTAATCCGGCTTCTGCGCAACGCTCGGCTTGCATCTCGTCGACGACATCTCTTGCTTCTTCTTGGCAGGTACCGGCGGTGCAATCTTCGTCTTCGCCGTCGACGCTGCTGTTGTCATCGTCGTCGTTGTCGTCACTGGTGTCGACTGCCGCATCACGAATACCTCATCGACGTCGCTGAATATTGCACTGTCCCGGAACGCCTCGTCCACGTCAGCGTCCGCGTAATTCTCGATGGTCTCGAAGCTCCTCTCATAGAAGCTGTCCGTCTCGCTCTCGTGACGCTCTGTATCCTTGTTGCTACTCGTCTCCTCTTCGCAGTTTCTCCTCTCTGACTCGGATCTCTCGATCTTCTTGGATTGGTTAATATCAACGGAAGAAGACTGCGCACGTTTGTTCTCGGCAAAGAGGATCATTGGATCGGCATAGTCCGACTGGGCAATTCTAGCACCCAGACTGGAGCTGCCTTGCTTGTAGTAGAGTTGGGGAACTCGTTGATCACTCGAGCAATTTAGCAGCTCCTCCACATCCGAGGACGGTTCCCTCGCGTGCTGTTTTGCCTGCTTGGTCCGCCTTTTCGGGTGCTTGCCTCCGGAGTTCAATGAGCGGAAATAACGTGTTCGTTCGACCTCATCATTGCACTCGAGTGTCTCCGTGCTCATGGTATTTCTCAGACGACCCTGCAAACGACTGCCCGCCTTGAAGACATTCCGGAAAATTGTACTGCCGCTACCGTTACCATTCGCCCGGTAGATCTTGTGGTCTGGATGAATATTCGCATTGTCGCTGGCAGATATGGATCGCACGTCGGAGTAAGTATCGTCGGTCAATCGTGTGTCCTCCAGCGAACAGAAGAAAGTCGAACTGGAGCTTGTCGAGGCGGCGGGCATGGGAAATTTGGCGATTCTACCCTCCGGCTGACACGTGGACGCGTACCTCTCCATATCCTCTAAATTGATTTCCGCTGGCTTGTCGGATGCAATCGTGAAAGGTCGCTCGCTCATCGGCTTGCCATCCCGCTGTAGGAAGCGAGACTTTGTCACGTTCATCGGTTGGGAGTTTGGGCTTATCTGAAAGCTGCGCGGTAGCGAACCGCTTTTAGGCGGCGAGGTGGGCAGGCCCTCGCACAATTTGGTAAGCCAAACGGCGGGCCGAGTCGGACTGTCGTTACCGTCGACATCACCTTTCACCGTCTGCAGACCTTCCCAGACGTGCTGTAGATTGTCATAGTTGCCGAAGCCCTTGGACTCGGCGTCTCCCGCATCATTCGCGTCGCTTCTCTCGTCGTTACATCGTTCCGATCCATCCTTTTCGATCCGTCCCGACATTACAGTAGAATTGATCTCCTTTCGGTCTACCGCCTGGTGATTTAACGTGCACGTTGTCGGGGATGATACGACAGTCTCCTCATTGTCTGTCGAATTCTCGCGAATACGCAACGCTGTCCGCATCACTTTATTCTCGGTGACAATGCTTTGTCGTTTGAACGTTTCGAAGAGTGCCTTTTTCTCGTGCAACTGGTTCGTCTTACCGTTATGCGCGATCATTTCCGTCGATTTCTGAGTAGTTTTTAGGTTGTCATAGAGGAGCTGCAGCGGCTGTTGGTTTTCTCGCGCCGGTGCCGAGGACAATACATTCCACGCGTTATTCGTCCTGATCAGTCGCTGCTCTCGATGTGTTGCCCGAGCGCGGCCTAATCTATTATTGTTGTTGTTAGTCAAACCATAATTAGCGTTCTCCGAATCACTCTCGTCCGATGTATCCGCCGAGATACGCTTGTTGAAGCGTTGATGTCGCACGTTGATGATGCTGCTAGTCCGTTGTTTCTCCAACAGCTTTTGGAACTCTTGATTCTGCATGAGAATGTGACCGACGATCTCCTCCACCGTTTGCGTCGAATTAGCGTGTTGTTCGTTATTATTTTCTTTGGCTTCAGCCGGTGGCGAGGAGTTCAATGTTGCCGTCTGATTCTCTTCCTCGGTATGAATTTCGACTGCTTCTTCTGTCTCGACCGTAGTAGATTGAGCATCGCCGGCGGTATCTTCTTCTTTTTGCTCCTCGTCCGAATGATTGAGACAAACGTACGACTGGAAACCTGGCTCGGACTTCCGTCTCCAACCGGTAAATCGATCCTAAATAAATTCCAACAGATTTGTTGAGATTGTACATTTCGCTGCTTTTCGCATGCCAACTCATTGTTCAAGATAGTTTCAAAATTCCAAAACAAATCTAATAATTTCGTCAAGCAAGATAAAAATATAATAAAAACTAAAAGCGCTTAAGATAATTGAAAGAATCATAATTTGATTTAAAAAAAATAATAAGGATTAATAAAACGTATAATTCAGAAAGTAAATTAATAATTTAATGAATAGAAGTGATTTCTTAGAATGTGTTGTACAGCTTTATAATAATTATGTGTAACAAGTAGAAGAGTATACATAGACTTACCTTAACTTTTGAAGTGCGTACATCTGAAGACCTGTTGAAAGACTCCCTAGAGTCATTAACGTCTTCATTGTCATTTTTACGGGACGATGCAGGCGAATCCTAACAATGTAAAAAAAAAATCGTAAAATTTCGTATAAATAAAGAAGAGAAAGCGAAGTAAAAAAGAGAAAACATTTTCGCTAGACCTCACCTCCATCGTAGTATCAGATTTCCTGACACCCTTTTTGAACTTCTGCCTCAGACCAGTTTCGGATCTACGTCTCTCCCTCTCCTGCTTACGTTTCTCCAAGTATTCCGGAGGGGCAGAGTGTTTCTTCGCCGATCCTTTATCCGTCAACGCGTCATCTGTTTGAAGTATTAAGTGCATTTACTCTTTGGTCGATTTCGCCTGACGATTAAAAGTACATTCTAAAGTGGTTAAATTGTACCTTCTTGTTGCGTCTGACCCAATTGTAACACTAACTGTCTCGCATGCGACGGTATAACCGCATTATAATTCTCTAGTATCACTCTCTTTATCTGTAACGTCCATTCCCTCTTTTGTTCTAAATTGCGTGCCTGAAAGACAGATGGTTTAATGAGAATACAGAGAATATAGCGTGTATATAAAGCCTGCTTTCCAATCAATATCAATAGATATCTCAATAATACTTACTTGCAATGTGTACTGCAACCGAGGATTATCAAAAGGTATTACGTGAAAGCTAAGTGGCTCTCCCGGGATACTTTCAATCAGCATTAGGTTTGAACACTAGAATTGTAAAAAAATAAAAAAAATATTTTATCAATTTTTATCAGTTCAATACTTTATCAATTCTTATCAATTTAATTATGTAATTGTACTATTCCATTGCAGCTTCAGCTTCAGACTGCATTTCAAGACCAATAGTAACGGCGTAGTTTGCGAAGCAAAAAATGTACATAAATTCGAGAAAACATTATGAAGCACAAAAGATCCAGCCTGATCATATATTGGTACATTTTCTATTTTGATTGTTATCATAATAATAATACTCACTTGATATACTTTACTGAAAATACTTTACATTTGTAGTTGTATTTATTTTCTAAAGAACTATAATATTTAAATATATGAAAGAGATGATCGCGAGAAATCAAAGTATCTTTTATAAAGAATTTTTAAATATCCACTATGAAAATTATACGAGATAAATATTAAGTAGAAGTAAATTTTTTTAAAAGCCGTACAAAAAGAAAAGGCGAAAGGTCATGACGGAAAGTCGTACCATAATATGAGCTTTATAGACGAGAAGGCCATCCTCCTTCTTCTTCGTCAGAAGAAGCATTCGATCGAAGAGGAAGGCGTGCCTCGGGGCCTTGGCCCCTCGCATCCTGAATCGACCTTCCGCGACCAATTCGCCACTTGTAGTTAGGTCTGGTCCCAGCCAACCGTACAAAAGTGATTGAATTTCTTGAACACGTACGGCGTGCTCGTGCCGCCTCTTCATAGCATTGATGTGTTTCGCAATGCCAGTCATCGCGGCAAGCGCAGCCTCAATGGCACTTCTGCCTTCAGCCTCATTCTCTCTCGAATCACAATCGGCGTCGTACTCCTTCGATAAATTATCCAGAAGCAAATGATACTTAAGGATCCTTTGGACAGGCTTCAAAAGATAGGAGCCGAGCGGCAGCGCGTGCCCCAGGGCCGCTTGCCGTTCGCGGAACGCGGATGCGGTTTCTTCCTGGCCCATTAAATCGGTCAGTACCGAGACTGTCCTCGGATAATTGGTACAGTATTCGGTATACACTTTGAATCCCGAATTATGCTTAATGAATGTATTCGCGACGCAAACGGGATCCAGACCGCATTTCTCTATCTCCCACAAGAATTCTCTATTAAATTCGAATATATCCTCGATATTGCTAAACAGATCGCCGAGGTGCAACCGACGCGCGAACGACGGTAGACTGTCTCTCCAGAATATGAGATAACCCTGAATAACTTGACGCAGATGCTCGACGTATATCGCCTCCGTGTCCACGATCTCGAGGAGCACCCTCTCGACGGGATTGCGATGCGGATCGCAGTAGCGCGGCCTATGGCATAAAGGATCCTCCTCGGCGCTGTTCCTCCTCCTCTGTCCGTTGTCGTCGTTCAAGACCCGACAGCTAGCTTCCGAAACCGTCACGACTCCGCTGTCCGCGGAACCCTGGGAGCTGGCACAGGTGTCGGCGAGGGACTCGACGGACGCCAGATAGGGATTGGCAGTACAAGTGTTGCCCTGATTGCTGCAGCTGCTGGAAGACGTGCTGGACGCGATCGAGCTTCCGGAGAGCGGTCTATTGCCGTTCCTATTGCGTCGCCTGTTGTACCTGAGCGGGGTGGTAAGACCGTTGGTCTCCCGCCTCTCGTACATCGGCTTCCCAATGGTTTCCCCATTTCCCTCGTGCTCCAAAGCCGCTACCGGGATCACCGTCTCCACCATGGTGTTATCGGTGGCGACCTCGTCGTATTCGCCTTCCTGCTCCTTGCTCTTCAGCACGTCCTGATGCACGGGCTTGGCTAAGTCGCCGTTTGTGCAGAGCTGACCGAATATGGAGCCCCGATGGGCGACTGGTACCCTACTTAGACGTTTCTGAAGGACCGCGGGTACGCCGCAGGACGATGGTAGGATCACGCGATCGCCTTCGTAGCCATCGCCGCGACGTGCCAGCTCGTCAAACATGCCCAGCAGTTGCGGGACTAGATCCGTGCTGGTACCTGAAAACAAATAATTCATCCCAATTAAGAGATATCAGAGCTGCGTTATCAAATACCAATGAAATTTAACGATTAGCTTTAACAATAATTTTCAGCGTAAATAAATTTCTACGGAAGGCCAGATTAATCCTTTAATTGTTTATTGTTAGCATATTTTCCGACAATTTATTTCGGGCCTTATTTTCTTCAAGTATTTCTTCGAACAAACTTAATGACATTTCCTGACGTTTCATTACATGATTTGTCGCGTAAATTTTTTCACGGTCCAGTCGTTCAAACCCGTCGTAAATCAGCAATATATTATAACGATTGGCAACGCAGATGCCTCTGGTAGGGAGAGTATCAGTGGAAGAAATATACAGATGAAATCTATTCTTATTAACATTAATAATAACCTTCAATTCACGCGAAAAAGACAATGGCTTCGTTCGCGTGAAAATGCTGTCGACACTTTCTTTCGTGTAATGATCAATCATTCCCGAGCGTATTGGAGATTCTGAGAATGCCGCCTGGAAATTACCGTGTCTTTCCTGGCACTCAACTTATTTCACCGAATGCAATAATTAATCAATGATCTCACGAGAATCGTCATTGTCATAGCAACGTAATGGAAATTAATTTTTCTCGCTCTGCGCCACATGACATATCGGAGAAATTACTTTGCGTGTCTCATACCTAATCACTGACCGCATACACAATGATGAATATGTCTTTAAACACTTGTGAATTTCATATATCTTTTTCGGATATGCATGCAAATTTTTAAGCTTGGCGGAATTTAATATTTAGGCGAAATTATATTAATTTTAATAATTATGTTAATAAATATATATTTTATGCAGACACATGTGTGTTATCAAATTCTTCAACAATAAAAGTTTATATTTTGATTTTTTCACGCAATTATTTCCAAAAGTTGCGGTCTAGAAAAGAAAGATTCTACTATAGATTAAAAATTTTTGGTTCAAGAAGTTTTTTACATTTTTGGAATATTACAGCTATTGTTTTAAATGCAAGTGCATGATCTTTATAGTTTTTTTATATAAATGGATTCCTCTACTTATTCTTCGCGTTACATTAAACTCATCAAAAAGTCAATCACTCAACATTTATTGTCTGAGAAATCTTTTTTTCTTATTTTTTAATTTTCTCGTTTCTAGTATGAAATAATTATTATTTAATATAAGTTTCTTTAAAAAAAAGCAAGCGATTGTGAATTTATCAGAAACCACGTTATTGAACATTCGAATGTACGTTCTACGAGACACCCTGTATAGGCAGAAAACAGTAAGAAATTAATTAGTACTCATATATTCCCGTTTATATTAAACCAATAAATTTACACGAGGCAACAGGATGCCCCTATTGACATATATCCGCGATATTTCATAAATCATTAAAAATCACCGATAAGAAATATCGCCGCTGCCGTTGGCTGCGTTTATCGTTAATGCGATCGCCTCCAATTAACTCGCTACCCGTTTATCGGCGCTAAAAGATTGGCGGACAGCTTGCGCCGATCCGATTACACGCACACAGACGAAAAGCACGACGTAATTATACGCACACATGTAAATGTGCACACATGTGCTTGACATGCATGTCGATATTTATACGTACAGAGTACTCCTAAGCTTAGAGTCTTATTTCTTTAATGAGCTAGATTCTTTGACAAATATGGAAAAAGAGAGAAAGAGAGAGAGCGAGAGAAAAAGAGAGAAGAAGGGAGGAGGGAGATCAAACTCCGTTTATTGCATTCTAAAATTGTCTATGTGGATTATTTTATTTTACAAATCTTCTATCCCCCCTTAAGAAAGGAACAGATCCAAAACACCCTGTATGCACAAATCGCGCCGCAGCCGCGGTTACATCTCGCGACTCGCGACTTTGCTCTCTCGCGCACACGTGTGTGGAACTCGTCGATTGTGCATGGCAAAACAAACGAGCGGGACGGCGGTTTCCAATTTCCGCGGCGGCAGACGTGAAATCAACGTCCATATACCGGTACTGGTGCGCGTGACCATGCATTTATGCGCGCTGCACCCGCGGTATACCGCCGCTTGAGATTTCTCTATGGTCACCCATGGAGTTGCCACTACGAGAGTGTACATCCAGTCGGACTGGCCCTAAATCCTTTATGTCTTTCCCTCGCAATATCATCTCGACTGTCGCAATCCCTTGACTTGCCTCCTGATGCACTTGGCTTGAAAGTTCTCTAATCACGCGGACTTCTGTCCAGCCACCTCATCTATAGGCTGCTTAAAAAAACTCCGACTACACGTTATGCATTAGTAATCTTACAAAAAAAAGGCATTTTTTTTTTATTATTTACTCTTATCTTTTATTGACTAAAAAAATTGTCGAAATCGAAAGAGGAAGTGCCTGGTGTCCAATTAAAATTCTTGAAGAATTTATTGACACAGAAAGCGCTGAAACTTGAGAATCTTACGAAACGTCCTCCATATTGTTTTGAAAACAGGAGAACTGTTCGGTTCGGCTTACCAACGAACACGCGCGCGATACATTTAACGTAACATATAAATACGAATGACAAAAAACGATTTTTTCACGGAGAAAATAACAGCGTTTTATTTATATCCTTCCGGCATGAAGAGACTTAAGGGTTTACGAGCGAATAAACTTTGAGATCTTCGAGTCCCTATGTCTACTATTATAGCTCTCGGTCCTAAGATTCAAATGTATCAGTTTTCGTTTTTAAAATGTATCACAGTCGTGTTCGAATTCTTTTCGAACGTTATACGACCAAAAATAATATCTCACAAATGATTATGTTAAGAACTTCAAAGAAAAGAGATTTAAGTATCATTTACGAAAAATATATTAAAAAATAATATCCGACACAATTTAAACATAATTTATTTATAGTTTCTTTTAGATTTGACATTTTCTCCGGACTTTAAATAAAAATTTAAAAAAGAATAATTATTTTAATAGATAAAAAAATTTGAAAATGGATAATGGACAATATATATTTTCTCTTTCGGCAAATTCGACAAAGCTATAAATCGCGGATGATCTCTTCATCTTCATCATCTTCAGAGCAAGATGTGCAAACACATTCTGATAGACAGATAGAGAAACTGTTTTCAATCGTTCTAATATTGTTCATCTCATGCATCTGTAACGTTTCTTTCAACCGAATCGTATTATTCATATGTTTTCATCTCTAAATGTTTTTCCTTATTTGATTTAATGACTTTCCTTATTTCATGACGTAAATCATTGGATGATGGAAATATTCCATAACGATCTACAGTTGTTTTCATTCCTTTCCATCCTATTAAAACATATTTTATTGCTTACGATAAATAAGCGAAAGCTTGTAAAGGTAAAAATAAATAACGGATCAGGATATACAATCCTTACAATGGCACGTGTATCATCTAAATAAGTCAAAAGAAATGCGTGTTCTCCTCCCATCAGTGACTTTGTCCTAAGGTAAGTTTAATGCAAATAGCTTTTAATTGAATTTTTTTATTGTAATAGCTTCTCCTTTTTTAATAATATTATATATTGTTCTTTAGAGTAATTATTATATATCATTCATGTATTACTTATTATTTGTTTCGACGTCAATTGTTGTTCATCGGACTATTTGTCATTCTCATTATCTTTTTATTTTATGTAATTTTTTGTGCGTATTGTGTGTGTGTGTGTGTATATGTGTGTGCATGTGTGTGCATGTGTGTGCGCGCGCACATATTCAGGATGTTCTATTTTGATTATCTTCATGACTTTATCTCTAAAAGCAGTAGTCGATAAAGAATGAAGTGTTTCAAAGTTGGTTTAAGAAAAATATTTTGTGATCATAACTTTTTCTAAGACTATAGAGTTGCTTCGAAGAATATAGAGATTATTTCTATTTTAAATAAAACTATATATCCTTTTTTTTACATTTTTTATTTATTTTGTGTGTGAGGTGAGCGCAATTTTGTGTTGTAAATAGAAACAGTGCTTTTTGTGAGCGATGACAGGACCGATATGAGAAAAAAAAGAGGATATGTAAGAGAAGAGATGAGAAAATGGAGAAAATATGTAAGAGAAGAAAAAAAGGGCAAGAAGAAAGAAAGACTAACGGAGACAGACTCTAAAAGCGAGGAAGAAATGGCGTTCGGTGATGGAAAGCAGCGGTCACTGAGAAAATTTTCAAGTGCTTTCGGCGCCGCGGGCACGCCTGCATGCCAACACGTTCCTATGAATCATGATTCCGCATAGGCGTGGACATGCGCTTGCATTTGCGTCCGACGAAAGGCCTACAACAGACTCGTCGCATAAATCTGCATCGCGGATGAGGGACGGGGGCACTTCTGCGAGAGGACAACTCGCAGCGAGTCGATAATTCCTTCCCGTGGCAATACTCAGCGAACGTTTCGCGGCAAATTAGGGTCAATTGCACCGACGGCATCTCCGGTCAATTAACTCTAACGATTTCCTGTTTCCTTGAGGGAATATTTAGTCACGTCGGAGAAGATTTAACTAATATTATATTTATGCTAACCACGGCTGCAAAAGTGATTCAACAGAATTAACGTAACTTAATTAATTAGCGCATGGTATGAAAATGAACAATTAAATATAAAAAATTCCGCCAATTCTTTCAAAAAAGATGTTTCGTTTATCGAATGCCCTTCTTTCCGGACATACTCGAAAAGATTGAGAAACGTGTCGCCGCGCCGGAGGCGAAGGACGGTACGGCTACCGTTAACTGGCTGATATCCAAAGTTCGGGAAAGCATGGCATGGGAGAGAAGGCAGGCCGGTAATTGCATCGCGCCTCGCGCGAACTCTCGGCGATCGGGCTGTTCTGGAAACCGATCACGCGCGGTAACTTGCGGTTCTCTCGGAAAATCGCGCCGCGAGAGCAGCGCGACGCCAGAAAGGAAATCGGGAGAGAAGCCGCAAACCGTTTTATGCGCCTCACGTATAGGTAGGTATAGCCGCGACGACAAGTGCAAGGACCCCGCGTGTGTCGCGGCCGCTGCACCCCGGGATTCCAGAGTGCCTTCCTTTTGTGACCTGTTATCTGTTCCCAGAGATATACCCGGAAATGCGCCAACGCTTCGGGACGCGCGCATTCCGAGGCGCGCGCTCGGGAGCAGCCGCGCCGAAGATAAAAAACGGACGTGTGAAGATAACGAGCGAAGGAGTTGTCGAAAATAATATCAGTCAAGGTGCACGTCACGTGAGTAAAGATGATGAATCATCGACGAGCTAACATTTACTTTCAGAGCATAGAATTCACCATGCAAAACCACCATTATTAAATTAAAAAAGGAGCTGATTTAAAACACAATACTGCAGTAATAAAATAATTGGATATAATAATATCTATAAATACATATAGATTTATGCAGGGATATATCTTGTCTGAGAGAAATACACTGGAGCGATAAATCGGAGCAGATATGTTTCTCAATATAAAATATTGTACCTCGGATCCGAATCTTTGGGAAAATAATATTTCCATATTCACTGTTCCCGCTTTTATCCCGAGATCGTAACGACGCGATCCTCGCTTGATTGTGCAAATCTTGCACAATCGCGGCACAATGAGATAATGAGGTACGGCAAACGAGACAGAGCAAACAGCGCTGTCCCGCTAATATTTGATATGAGATAACGGAAATCAAAACTTTCGCACAAACGTTGTACTTTTAGATGAACATCGGGAGAGTCAATTAAATCGATGAGCGAAATCAGAATGCCCAGAATGCTCAATTAAAAAATTAAATCACATTTTCATCTCCCTGCATTAACAACGTCGCAACATCATCAGTTATTTGAAGTGTACGAAGAACTATGAGTCTTTTGCACGCTTTTATCGTCATTCCAACATTTTCAAAACATTGACTAGCTCCGCTAATCTAAAGAAATATCACAAAATTTTTTTATCCGCCCCTTATCCTAATGACATTCATTAAATTAGAGTCAATTTCTGCTTAGCAAAAATTTGATTTAATTTATATTTATTTATTATTAATTCACTAGTAATTTCCATAGTTTCACATTTTCCATTCATATCGCAGTTTTAAATAATATATGTCAATTTTATGTGACTGAAAAGTAAACGTGTAATAATAATATACTTTCATTTAGTAAGAATTCAAGTTATTTATCGCAGTATTTCTTAACGAATATTTCACTTGTATCTATCTTTGCGACGATAGAATCGTTCTTGTTAAGTCAATAAGTTTAGAGAGATTCACAAAAGCCACAGACTCGACAAATATTTGTACCTCGATTTATACGGTCGCCTACGATCGATTATCTTTCGTCAGGTGTATCGAGTCCGTCTATCTCCGATAAGTGACTTCTAGGTAACGTACGTCAAGTTCCAGTTGTAAAAACTTACGGAAGATAAGTCAAATATTTTTACATTCAGCACCTGAATAAACTTTTCCAACAAAGTGAATATGTCTGAGACCCGCCTTCCCCACTAAATTATCCCAAAGACATGTCACGCAAGGGAAAACATTAGGTTACTCAGCAAATTTGAAAAATATTACGAAACGGAAAGCTAAACAACTGCAGTAAATAAAAATCTCAGAGACTGCGATGATATTGGGATACGTGCATCGTGTACTTTTCCCAAAAGATCGCAAAGAGAGAAACGGGATAGATAGCTCTTAACGCACCTTTCTCTTAAAGCACACGACAGATTTTACGAGCATACGCGACGATAATAATTACATAAGCGCAGCTGTTTTTACGAAACCGGAGTTTTCGGCCTCGAAACTGTCCTCGGGATAAGTGCCGGTTCGCCCGTGGAATTACAAGTAGGTGTCTAACGAGAAATGATGAATAAATCCATTGAAATAGAAAATAATGCTTGTCGAAGGCAAAGATTCAATTTCAATAAAAGTGTCTGGCTTTTGACCTCGAACTGAAAAAAAAAAGAACGGTTACCTCTCTAATATGCTTTTCAAAAGCGGACAGCAGGCGTCCCGGTGCGAGCAACAATAACTTACTGTATTTCACTTTCACCCCCGTCGCTGATATTGACGGCCTTATCGCAACACAGCCCGATACATCACGCACCGCCTCGTTTCAATCGGTTCGCTTCAACGTCGATCATTCGTGGCGAATCGCTCGAAACGATCGTCAATCGTCCCCCGTTCGCGTGAACTTCCGTTAATTGCCGCGCGACACGCCTGAACCGGAACACACAAAGCGGTCGCTCTTCGAGAAAATCCGTTTCTCCGTAACGATTGTACCGTCACGTTCACGTGACATCGTGAGTAATGCCGATCTCACGCTCCGCCAGGACAAGGAGCATTATGCGAATGTCGATCACCCTCGTAACACAGGTAAGTCCAGCACGAGATATTGCGGATCGCATCGACCGAACGAACGAAGCGGAGTTAACATCTCAAACTGTTTCAATTACCGAAAAGTATCTCGATGCGATCAAAGAAAACTTAAATCATCTGCGGTGGGCGACCGATACGCGTTTGAATCACCCTTGTTCCACACGTCACACGGCACGCGCGATAAGAGAGATAAGGAGTAGTTCGTCCGCTGCTGATCGGTAGTTGGAACGTGTCCCACTGTGATCGAAAAATGCACCGTGCAAATGAAAAGAGAAAAGGAAAGACGCGCGACGTCGCGACGCGAGTATAGGTCTCAGCTGCCAAGTGCCAGGTAGAGACCGAGCCAGCCTTCGCTGCTCGAGCAACAGGTAGATACTGGCGACGGGAGGCGGTCGAGGATGGGAATGGAGCGAGTGTGCCAACTCTCGGATGGACGACCACGGGATCGAAATGCCTCGATGCCGGAGCGGCTCGTTAAGCCGGCGTCCACAACGTCTGAGGAGGCGGAGCGGGTGTCGGATCGCGATAAGCGACCGTCGAGCGCATTCCTATCTGTCGTCCTACGTCGCCGGATAATCGGCGTCGGATAACCGACAGTTATTGACATCGGCCACGAGAGAGTGTGACTCGGACCGGGAATTAGAGGTGTGGTAATTGCAGCGCCGGCGCGATTATCTATACGCGATACAACGCGATGGGAATAAACTCAATGCGGGACGTCGCCGCGTCGGTCGCCGCGCGCCGTGGAGAACGTGTGCCATTGTCTCGTCCGACCGCGTGGTAGGGTTGCGTTATCGCGATAGTCGAAAGACCTTCTCTCGTTTTAAGATTCCTCAGGAATCATATGAAACGCGTGAGTTACTCCAATATCGCAAAATACAGCATAAAATGAGAGAAAGACAGGTTGTGTTACGGATATGTGTATCATCGTTACGAAACAATTATTTCTGCATAAATGCTTTTGCGTGCGTATGCGTGTATATGGTATCATATCTTTCCTACCTTTGATAATTTGTATTATATAATATAATTTTTCTGTAAAACTCGTGCAGCTTAGACACCTATCTCTGTCATGTAATGAAGTATGAATCTCGTTTTCTAAATGCGATTAAAGCACGAGACGGTAAAGACGTATTATCGTGCGATATCCCGCGTAATACGGAGGCTAAAGTTAAGCCGAACGACAATTGCATAATACGCCTATAGCTGGGTATGTCAATCTGATTAATAACTCGACTATTAAAACGTTACATCGATATATCACGGATCAATGCACATGTATAACAGGACATCGATTTTCCGATGGCTCTCAGAGATATATGTGCAAAGTAATCTGTCGCTCACGAATTTTCAGCGATAATCTTGCGGCGTACGCGACTTTAAAATGCAATATGATCGATATATGTGGCACACGCTCATATTGACTTATCATAATGAAATGACGTTCTAATTAATCGTGAATGTACTTAGTACTTTCTATTAAATAATCGATTGATTGCGCACAATAAATAAATGAAAATAACGTTCCCCTCATCGAACGTAGAAATTAAGCCAGCTATAAATCACTATGAATACATAATGAATCATTGGAATTAAAGCAATTTTCTCTTATCTTTTAAATCAAATATCGATCAAATTTTTAATAAAACACCAGATTTTAATAATTGAATAATACCTTCTTTTTATCTCTTGTTTTCAATATTCAAAATTTTAACTTTATAAAGCTGTTTTAGAAGCCGATGTGTTTTAGAAGAGATTTTATATATTTGTTTTCACATATTGACTTCTTCTATTCTTCAAAATCGAAAGTACACGTTAAATTCATTCTCCTCTCGAGTTTTAATCAGATATTCACGAATGCAGAAACATTCCTCTGTGGCGCGATTTGTTTAAATCATTTCTTGTGGAAAAAGGAACTAACAATATAAGATTATGTGCAAAATATTCTTCAAACCGTAATATCTTTTACTTTAAAAATTCCTTTTAGCCTTATCAAGATATATATATATATATATCGATACAATGCTACTTTTTGTAGCTCAGACTCGGCGTTTTTTATCTCTCTTTTTTTCAAGATAATTTTAAAAGCCTATAAGCTACTCCTAGGTGTGAAAGCCGCTTCAGTGCGTACGCGCAAGAGGTAGGGGGGGTTCAATCATCGCAATGAATTACAACGAGCCAGTCACTGAGTGTGACTCACCGAGTACTCTAGCCACCGGCCGCGGCCGCAGCCGCTGCTGCACGGCGCGCGTCACACGCCGATAAAAGGCTCTCTCGGCTCTCGTTGCTCTGGAAAGAGGAATTTGAACCGAGAGGGAAGTGAATAACACACGACCCAGGCATTAGGCGAATGCCAGGGGGTCCCGGGCCCCTCCGTGCCCTTGCGCGCCCCGCGTCCAGCCTGGACCGGTTCGGCCGCGAATTATATGAATCATCGAAATACCGTATCGAAGCGCGTCTATAAGCGTGGATTCCGAGTAAAATCAAGGGCCTAACGGTATCCTCGGGAAATACTGAGAGCGCGTTTGTTCGCGGATTATAGCGATTATATAGCGATGACGAGAGGGCACTTGCGCTAAGTGCTGTAACTCGACAGTGGAACGATAAGCTGAATTTGTCCCCTGTACGCGGCACACTTTCGGAAAGTGCATAGAAAACGAAATGCTTTCACGGGTAAAGGAAAGCCATCATAGGGATATCGCGTGTGCGCCTGGCTTATTATCCGATCGAATAATCTCGTAAGCATTATCTTTAATATAAACGATCACTTATCGAGTCTTAATCTAAATTAGTCGTAAATTGACGGCAATCAATTCTGTACAAAAGAATCTTAATATCTGAAAAAATTGCATATTGCGAGGAAACTTATTGATATTTTATCTTGCCTGATTTTCAAGACTATAATTTTATTAATTATCTATATCACTACTTAAAGAGTCTGAAAATGTGGACCAAAACGTCTCACAAGTTGATCGTTGTCTAATTAATTAATTATTAATAGATTTCGCGATTCCTAATATAATTTCGCGCATTGGCATTCACTTATTGCCGATCATTTTATTATCTTTGTCTCCAATTGTGTATCTCAGCATGACACACAATTTAAAGAACTATTGCAAAGAACTATTACTTCGATAAGTCTCGCATAAAGAAATATATAATACATTCTTAAGAGTTTTCTAAGCGATGCGTGTCACATATAAATCTGCAGTCTCACACAAAGCTACGTCATTTAAAATTATTATGTCTCGGAGATCCCACGGCGTTTCCGGAGTACACGAGCCGCACGTATGTATATACCTATACACGTGACGACGAGAAACGTACGTGGTATTCGCTAATTGACAGTCAAAGGGTAAACGCAAGCAATTCGTAAACGGCGCGTGCTTCTGTTTGCTCAGCCCGACGCGGCATTAATTATGTTACAAGCGTACTGTTATATTTAGCGGCGTCGGGATGATGCACGCGCACCCGCGCATCCGCGCACACGCACGCACGCACATACGGGGATTTTCCGATGAACCGTTCGCCGCTTCGCACGCGAATTCTTCAACGCGAATATATTTGATGCCTCGCAACGTTCTTACGTTCTCAGCCGAGGACATGCGGCTGTCGTAAAGGAGGGTCCACATTATCGAGCAAAACCGCGAGCCGAACTTCGCCGCGAACCGATCATGCGTCCACATTATCGAGCCGAACCGCGAGCCGAACTTCGTTGCGAGCCGATCATGCGTCCACATTGTCGAGCCGACGGGCTCGCACGAGGCTCGCGAACCTCGAATCGAACATCAGTGCGAACCATCGCGTACTCAGTCCACGAATCTGCAAGGATTTTGATGATACGCGGTTTGGCTCGCAGTGTCCCACCAAAAGTCGGTATTTCGACGAAACATCAAAAGATGCTTTTTATGATCAGATTATACGCTTTGTCGGGTGGTAGACTGGTAGTTAAGCTTCGATCTAGAGTATCTAGACAAATAATGACAAAAAACAAAAAATGAACTATGAAAGAAAACGTGAGTAATTGCCCAGTCGCTGTATTTGATTCTATCCACGTATGTGCAGTCTACACGACTACTGATAGACAAAATGGAATGGTCTGATAAAAAATGTTTAAAATTAAATAGTGATTATAAGCAGAAAAGATTATTATATACGGGACGCTAAAAATCCCGAACATTATAACAATTAAAAAAATGCCATGCATATTTATATTTACAATCGTATTTTTAACGTTGCAATATAAATTATAAATTTATTGCGTATTTATCATAAATTTAGAGTATGTTTATGCAATATTAAATATAGTTGGTACCACTCTAAATATAGTTTTATGGTTTAAAAAGGAATTAAGCTTTGAATACAAGAAAATAATAAAAGCACGCATATGTATACACATATTTAGTCGTCTTTTCCTGTTCTCATACTTTTTTTATAAGAAGAAATAAGTAAAGAACTCGAATGTGATAGTGACATGTGCAAAAAAAAAGATGACGACATTATTGGCATCTCTGCAAAGAGAAAAAGCAAAAATAAAAAAAGTATGGAAACAGGAAAAGGTGAGTGAATATATGTATATGTGCTTTTATTATTTTCCTGTATTCAAAACTTAATTCCTTTTCAAACCATAAAACAAAATTTAGAATTAATATTGCATAAACATACTCTAAACCTGTGATAAATACGCAATAAATTTATAATATAGTATATATTGCAATGTTAAAAAATACGATTCTAAATATAAATATGCATTTTGCATACATGTATTAAGAATTTATATAAATTTTATTATAAATTTCAATACGAGATTTGACTTCAAAAAATTTTAACTCATGTTCGCGGTTCGCGATGGAGTTCGATTTGAGGTTCGTCTGCAAGTTCTGCTCGAGGCTCGGTTCGGGACTCGGTTCGCGGTTTGGCTCGATAATGTGGACCCTGCTTAAGAGTCGCGACGAGTTGCTGTCGCTCAGGTTCCTCAAGGTCAAAGAAATGCGTCCTCCTCGAATTGAATGGCTCTTGGCACGGAAATTCCGCGTCGCGGACTCGCGGGAACGAAGCTCGCGCAACACTCGATCGTAAAGCCCGCAATTTTACAAACGCGCGTTCGAGCCGAGAATGCTTCCACGCGCGTTATATTATTGCGGGCTCTCGCATATGCTCTCGCGTTACGAATCACCGAGAATCACGGACTAACGAACGCCGTGCTCGGTTTTCGCTTATCGGAGTAAACGCCCCGCCCGGGGGCCCCGAATTGAACCTTATCATTTTCCACGTACGGAAGCACTTATGTTAAATTCGAGAGATCGATGCGTGACGATGCACCGCGGAGTATGCCATGCAATACGCGGCCCGATACCTTCTGTACCTTTCACCGAGTTCGATAAGGAATTATATTTAAACCAACGACACGT